CTGCTTCTCGAGCTCCCGGTCTTTGCGTCTGCTTTCCCGGAGCGAACGTCCCAGTCGAGAATCCGCAATCGGCGGAAGCCGTGATGATCCCGTCCGGATCGAGAGCAGCATTTTTCCGTCAACCTAATCTGTGCCCGAGCTCGCTGAAATCCATCGGAGTTCTAGGACTCCATTCATTCTCAATTCAACAAATATGATTGCCGATCATTCATCGACGAGTCTTTGATCAGATCGTCCCATGGCACGGGTAGAAAATTGGAGCAGTCGACTAGTACCGTGAAGAGCACTCTAATGACATATCAGCAACAATACAACGTGTCTGTATGCCTTTCGTGGATCGGGCACACAAAGCCGGAGGGAAGCGTGAGAGAAAAATGAGAAAGCACTCACCGAGTCCGTCATCGTGAAAGATAAATGATGCCATCCTTCAGAAGAGCTCATTTAGAGCTCATTCTGAACGGCTCGCGAAACTTCGGATGATTGATCCGAAGCCTCCCTCGGTCAACTATGGAGCCCTCGCTGCCAGGAAGTTTCCAGAAGTAGAATTCTCCTAAGGTGTCAGCTATTTGTCGCCGCCGCATCCATATCAGGAAAGCATTCAGATGATCAAACTCGATCCTTCGTTCGCGAGCTTGGGTCCCGAGTTTTCCCCGTATATCTGTAGCTGGAGGTCGATTGGAACCGATATGGTGCCAAAAGGAAAGGTTCCGGAAGGGGAACGCATCGGTGAGGAATTCGCGAGGTAGAGCCGCGTTCGTGCGTTCCTCGATTCATTGCGTTCCAAGAGGATGACTCTGCGACAGATAGGTTGTGAGTTTCCTCCCGGCTGCTGGGAAAGAGGAGCTTCGGAAACCGTGGTTCGGCTAGAAGGCCGGGTCACGCTGCGGGTGGAGGCGTTAGTGCAGTGCAACAAATCATGGTGATGTTTTCCTCTGGAACTTCAGGCTTTTTTTTTTCATTTCTCGCCCAGACGGCGGTGGTAGCCCTGTCGACCGCACGGCTGCTATCGGAGCCCGCAGACCCCATGAGCCCGGTCTGATTTTGCGAACATGTAGGACTGGAAGCCGGAATGTTTGACTCTCTCGCCCGGATCATTCCCGGTGTTTTCCGACTAGGACTTGTGGAGAGGCCCGAGCCACACGTCAGATATTCGGCGACGATCCGACGAATCGCGTATCCTGACGATGGGAACGTAGACACGCGCAGGGCCGCGAGGGAGTCCTAAGAACTGACACGCTACTTCGACTTCGTCGTAGTCTGCGATTATGAGCAAGTAATCAAAGTGGAGACTCCTCACTTGGAGGGTAACTGAATATTCCCGGGCATCACGATCGAGGCGAGCTCCCGAATTTCAGATGATTAATAGGCTCCGACTTCGCTGATTAAGACAATGCTTCGCGAAACGATACCATTGCATTGAGATATTCCCATCGCCTCCGAATGCCATATCGAAGGCGAACAGCGAGCCGGAGGCACGTCTTATTCGAATGTCTATCAGTGCTCATGTTTTGTTCTCGCTCCCTCTTCCCTAGCGCTCGGGAGGTCTCGATCGAGAGAGCTGCCTTGCAGAGCCGAATGTGCTTTGTAGCGTTTGCGATTAGATTATGAACTCGCTCTGGGATCAGACGGAGCCCGGCTCAGAGCGAGAGAACGAGTCGAGTCTAGCCTCCTCGTTTCATGATGAATGGTTCGCCAGCTATTGGAGGAAAGCTTTGGGCGACGGTTCTCTTTCGGATATCGGGGACCGCTGCTGCTACCACCGCGACTGCTACGACTCCTACTTCCACTACAACTCTGGAGCGGCAGCGCAGTCGCCAACCAGACCGGCCTGTCGCCCGCCTACTCGGACCTAAGAACCGAGAGTCTCGGAGCTGAATTCACCGAACCATTCACTCAAGACCCGACAAAGGGGTCGACTGGAGGGGGGAATAGTTGGCAATCAGACCATTTGCCTTCGCGCCTGCTCACCCGTCCGACCGTACTCTTAAGCATGCAAGCTCCGAGCCGCAGGCGGGCCGAACAGCTCCTGGTTTCCGAAGGCGTTATTGAGTTAAGTAGCGCGTTGCAGTACGGGCGGTACTTCTGCTTCAAAGACAGGGCTCGCAACTGGCAGCAACTTATTTAATATTCAATGATTCACCCGACTCGCGGTTAGCCAAGGCGAGCCTGCCAGATGATTATTATGCCGAGCCCGATCGCAAAGCAGCGGCGTCGCACTTGAGGGGCTTCTCCCGACTTTTTTCGAGTCCAGATTCTAACGGCGGGTCATTCCTCGATACCCGCATGGCTGTTGGTTCTGCCTCCGAAAAATCCAGGAAAAGCAGTCGGACCAGGGTCCCATAGGGACGAGTCGGTTCTAAGGCATAGGTCATGGGTATGAGAGATTGAACTCGACATTGGCAACAGGGCATTCTACTGTTTCAAAGTTTCGAGAGCCGAAGTAAGCAGGGCTCGCCATGTCGTATTCTGTCAGCTGTGTTACTCGAGTCAGGAGGGTCGGATAGATAACTTCTATCGCGATTCGACCTCACGAATGAATCAGGGGTTCAATGTTGGGCACCCTAAAGTCCGCGTCGGGTGCCCAACATTGAACATCTTCCCGCGGGCTCCGTGATCCTTCCTCGCACCCGCACGGAATCACTGAGCCATATCTCGCAAATATCGAGGCCTGCGAACGCCCCGGTTTTTGTCATGACGATCGCATATCATTGGGTCTGACGTCTGATATCAAGGCGCTCAGGACTGCGACTATCCAATGGTGGGATTACTCGTTCGGAAAAGTCTCGTTTCTCGCCCTTCCCTCCATGGCTTCTCGTTCGAAGCTCAAAACTCTCCCGAGTCGCGAGAATGTTTCATTCATAATCATGAATGTCGACCGGATTCGTTTCGCTGCTCTCCGGGAAGATTCGAAAGAAACACTTTTCCGCAAGGGGGAGTGGGTCTTTGGCTTTCTTAAGCTTATGGTTCCCGTAGGGAAACTTTCGATGTTCCCTTCCTGAAATATTCATGCCAAGCTTTACTGGCGCGGCAGCGGATTTAGGTCTTTTCCTCTAACTTAATATTCAATAATTCCCAGGTAATGCTTACGAGTGCTTACCGGCTACCCGGGAGCCTGATGACCTCCTACGAAAACATTCCACTGACCTTCGCCGGGATATGTCGCTTTCCCCCCCCCCCCCGAGTGTTTGTTCCATCAAACAGCAAGGGAGCAAACGAATCGACATAGTAATTAACGAGAGAAAGCAAGAGCGGAGGACAAAAAAGTGAATCAAGCGGTCTGAATTGAATGTAATGCTTGCTTGTCACCTGACAGCCACCTCCGCGGGGTTTTCTCGGGGCTTTTAAAAAGAACAATTAACTCGCTTGGTAATAAATGAAAAATGATAGTCCTCCCTTGTCTGGGAGCTGTCTACGCTGTGGCTGGAGCCTCGTCAGGGAGACATTTACGAACGATATAAGAAGCAACAACATCGTACGGCTCGAAAATCTATGTCACAAAAGTAAATGATTCATCACCGTCCTGAGAGCGTGCCGTAATGCAATTTTCGTGCAAAGCGTTGTCGCGAGGATATTTCTTCGCCCCGCAATCCGGCCGTTAATTTAAAGTTCAAGAAATTCTCGCATTCTGAATCGATTCGGGGGAATCAGGTTCGGCAATTCAATATCTCCGGGGTTAGCATCGACACAGGCGCCGCACTCATTGATGATATCGAATAACTGAAACAACACGGTCATTCCCCGTTAAACTACGACTCGCGGAGCTTGTAGAATGATGATCATGGAGGTCGAAGCTCACTTTTTCGGCTGCTATTCTGAGTATCGAAGCTAGCGCTCGCGATTGAAATCTCTTCCTCGCCCAGACGGGCCCGAAACGCTCCTCGGGGCTGAACGAGAGGATGCAGCGCAGCTCCTCGACGGAATGACCGACTCGGACAAGTGTTGATTGGCTCGCCCTTACGTTTTGGTCGATGACAACGGCGCTGAATCAACATATGGAGGGACAAGCTTCGCGCCTCGATAAGCTACACGTTCCCCTTCCCCCTCCCCGTCAGGTCCATCACCGATTCGGACGGTTGTCAATCAGTCGTAGGTCATTTGTCAAGACGAGTATAGTGCTCTCCACGAGCGAGCTGAGCGCCCTTCGAGAAGCAAAGTGAAGCATCCAGGCAAGGCAACGCAGGGTTGGCAGCCGCAGTGGCGGCCGCGCCAGCAGCAGCAAAGCAAGTGGGTGTGAGCGAAGCAAGGAGGAAGGGTGGGGGCCGCTCTTCGTGTCCTCCCTCTCCTCGTAACGATACGATTGGTTGGGAGCCTTCAAAACGCGCCCTGATTGGTCAGTCGGCAGACCGATCGCACTTTGAGCGCCGGTGTCCCCGTGATGCTCACTTGTGATGGATCGCTCTTCTGTAATGCTTTTCTTAATGGTTTTATAATATTCATTAATTATTCGAATAATAATACTTCTCCTCTCGGCCGTCGTGTTTATTGTTCATCGCGTCTGGGTACCGTCTGCTCTCGATGCTGAGTGAGGCTCTTCTGCCTCTCTCTCCTTGTTTGTGTGAGTGATTGTGAATGTTGTATCGACTCATCGGACAGCATCAGCGACGAAGACGGCGGTGGGATTACCCAAATTTCTGTCTCGACAACAGCCAACTCGATCTTCCGCAGAACCGGAACTATCCGCTGGTGGACCAGAGGCAGCTACGACGTCCACTGTGAACTCGAGGAGAGTGTTCGGCTCGAATTATTCCTAGCCGAGCTAGAGCAGGCTGGACTCCGGTGATCGGTGATCATTTCTTCAGTTCGGAGTAGCGGAACCTGTGCCCTTCGATCTCGTTGTTTCTGTTAGTGTTGTTGTTGCTGTTCTCGTTATCAACATCGAACTATTGTCAGGGTGAGGTCTCCGGAAGACCGAGTTGGTGGCTGGTCATTGATCGTTCTTCATATCTGGAACAAACGATCACTACCTAAAGTGCGAGTCAGTGCGTGTTGTGAGAGTGACTATGATCTTGTGGGGCTATGGAGTTCAGCCCAACACTACCTCGTGCTCGAACAACGGCCATGGCCCTACGGCGATTTCTTCCTCTCAATTGGCCCTCAACCATGCAGGTCTCATTGCCGCGGGGGCCTGCTCCGAAATGCAATTCAGTCAAGTTCTATTATCGGTAAGAATGAGTTCGGTATGGCCTTTTCGAATTCCGGAATTATGCTCTGCCAAAGGAGTTCATGCAGCTCCTCTGTTTGATGAATATCCGCGTACTCTTATGTATTCTTTGATCTCGGAGCGGCGACTTGCGAATTTCGGTGGTGTAACTACAAAGCACCTGCGGAACGCACATCTGACTGAGCTTCCATGGTACTTCGCTGTTTGCTCGCTTAAAAGATGATTTTCTTCCCGTGAGACGGTCGGCGGAGAAACTCCGCTCGCCGGGCCGAAATAGACCGAAAGCAATATTTCGCGCTGTCCCTGCTCTGACCACGTTAAAGAATTTCCTATCAGAAAATACGAGCACTGCCACAGTGGCCTCTTCGTTTTCGGGCTGCGTGCGGAGATAGGAGCAGAAGTAGACCTGTCCGAGCAGACAAACTGACCAAATTGATAGAATCTTCTTCGGTCGTAATTAACTTCTGTCGCTCCATTATTTTCTTCATAAAATCGACGAGATTTCGACGCCTTTTCTGGCCCGCTACTCTCATCCCGGTGCTGGTTCTAAAACTTCTTTTCAACGGCTCCCAAATGATGAAATCGAACTTGGACATTTTGACGGACGTTATAGTATCTCTCACGAATCATCAATGCAATGGAACGGAATCCGGATGGCGGGTTCTGAGACGATCTGAAGAAACTGCGACGGCAAGGCTGGGAGAAAGAGAACCTCAGTGTATTTCCCACTTGAGACAAACGCCGTCCTACAGGACCTCTTTTGAGCTCCGTCCTCAGACTTGGGGAATCGGGCTGAAAGTCCCCAGCTGAATGAATCCCTTTCCATCAAAATCTATTTCAGAGATTTCAAATTCTCCATTAGGATGTGATTAGAGGGATTTGGCAAGGGGCCGGGTGAGTGGAGCACGTGTAGAATTTTACTTTAGCCACGAGACAGGCTGGTGCATCCACCGCGATTTCATCCATGGGAGACATGATGATGTGCGTGAAACGCAATCGAAAAGAGTGGAACGTAGTCAGGAGACAACAAAATGAAATCTCGAAAGGTTCTCCCAATGGCTAGACCGATACGCTGTTAAGTGAGTGAACATCGATCACGCATCAACACCGTGCTCAATGAGCTTATCATCCCTGTGACAGCTTTGATGGATGGCTTCTGATTGAAAGAGACATTTCGCGTCCGTCGCTCCAATATCTTGCCTCGTCGAGAGGCTGCGCGACAAGCGTGTCATTTTGAATTTCAGGGAGCGATTTGATCTTCGAAGGTGATAGCGGCGCTCTGATACGGGAAAATCGTCAAATAAATTTCGGATGCGTGTCTCTTACCTCTCTCAGGGAAGGGGACTTTCCCCGTTTCTAGTGGTGGTCTCCATCAGAAAAGAGTTTCGTTGGTGTCGAACCACGTTCTCGATTCTCGCATTCCCCCGTTATCATCCGTTGCAGATTCGACGAGTGCAGACCCGAGTGGGAATATCCGTGACGTAGAGTTGCTTACCGTAACGGATTCCGTCCAAGAGCGGAAACGAGAGCCGACAAGTTTACAAGCTCGCCGTCCTATCTCGCAGTGAGCATAAATTCGTGTGAGTGTGAGCGGCTGTAACGGATCTTTCATGAATCATTTGTTCGCGCGCTGTCTGAGTGATCGTTGACAGAGAACATGAGGCGTCGCCCGCTGGGAGCGAGCGACGTAGTGTCTTCGTGCCCGCCGCGAAAGCAGACCGTGCTGATAACGTGCATTAAGTAGGCTACACTTCGCCAGGCATGAACCAGCACCAGGATTTCTGGAAGAAACGGTTCCTCGTGGTACGAATCCGTGCTCGGATTCCACACGAAATCCGAAGACGATCCGACCGGCTCTCGGAGTCGCTGCGGCGATTGCACTCGTTTTCACTGTCGCCCGGTTGCCTATCTAACTCAGAAAACAGACCGATTGACTGACTGATTGACTGACTGACTGATTGCTGGCTTGCTGCAAATCATGCTCACGTTCTTATATGTAATTTCGGCTTTACTACTCGTACATGACTGACGAATGACAGAAACGATCTGAAGGGATCATAATTGCTGGGGATAATGACTCCGAATCGTGTTATCTCTCTTCGGACACCAACCCGCTCTGTGCGCGGCAGTTCTTCCCTCGATGCCGTTTCGATTGCCATCTTTGCAACAGGATTGACCGCCATCTCTCCGCCGGACGGAGCAATTTCGGGGTGTCTCATGCTGCTGCTCGCAAAGAAAGCGATGATTGAATGATTCCTCTGCCTGTCGATTCGGTGCGTGCACGGATTCGATATTTTCCAAGCCACGCGTTTCCCACCTTGATTTTTCGCCGTACGGTCTTGGAGGAGTCTGAGGCGAGGGCCCGTCTGACCAAGATTTTTTTCAACGGACGAAGCCCGATTCCCTTATCGATGGGGCGTCGAAATACCTCATTGATCTAGTTTCAATCGAGAGAAGAAACATTAAAATCGTGTACTCAATTAGCAGCTTTGTAGCAGCACAAATTGATCAGTCATAACTGTTATCAATATGTTCTCGACGACTTCATGAGGGAGAATTAGGCTTCCGCCGTAAATTTGCGATTTGAAGATTCACAGGAGCTTTCTAGCTCCATTACGTACAAATTGCTGCGACGCCATTAGCTCCAACCGTTCTCGCTACCGTCGTTACTTCTGCGTGGAAACTGATTCATGCGTCACGAGCTGGCTACGTCGGAGCCATCGAGACCAGAAAATTGAAACGTCGTCAACCACGTGATATCTCGATGCAAAATATCTATCCCCTCGTTGGTGAGCTCCATCCGATCCATTTGAGTGGCGGGCCGTATACCGTATGATGATGCAGATGTCGGATCATTCCGGCCGAGTCCACGGGTTCCCTAGCTCCTCCGTGCAAGCTTCCGCTTCCCAGATCGACCTGCCAAAGCAGGTGACAAGGTGTCGTTTCGCGCCGGAGACAGGAACTCCTAGACATGATAGAGCTGGTGCTAATTGTTGCCATGATCAGAATGATCGACGCAGATCTCGTCGTCATTACGGCTTTTGTTGAATAAGAAGACAGGATACAATGGAAACACCGTTAGATTCTGAAGCAGTCAGCGAAGCAGACAGTCGGAATGACCACATAACAATTAGAACGAGCGCTTCTTCGACACGAAAGCGAGCAACCGAAGCCGACCGGGATGATGAGCCCGGTTTGCTCATCAATTGATGGTAACAAGGAGAATGCGAGAACTAGGAAGGAGGAGTATGCGATGAATGATGGAGAGTTGCGTCTAACACTAGATGGTCATCAACTTCATCATTATTGTCGCTGGGCGCTTGTTTTTGAGAATTGAAGAGAGAGCAGCAGTAGCGCGCCGTTGGGCTCGATCGTTTTAAGGGGATCTCCCGTATTACGCCAATCTTCGAGTTGAGCGGATGATGAACGAGAGCTTACACGGCGCGAAGCAAACGATGATGTCTTGAATAGACGCTGCAATAGTTGCCGCTGATTGATCACCGCGGCGCTCGTCGACTCGTTGCTTCGGCAACAAATTTTAAGGGCGTGATGTTACTATCGGGAATTCGGCCTCATGGATTACAGTGACTCCGTTGAATTATCCCAATGGCCGCGCCGGCTTCAGTTGGAAGACATTGATCGAGGATCCGAATTCTTACCCGATCGAATAACGCCTTCTCCCCTATCTGTTGCTACTTATGAGCGGAAAACTCCGTTTTTCCCTCAGATCTACTTGGAGCGAGAAAGGAGCAGGAACTACGTAAAAAGCTCCGGAGAACAGCCTGTTCTACGGATCGTTAATATTTCGTCGACAGCTTGATGTTCTCCCGTTCCGAGCTAGGCGAGGAATTCCCAAGGTCGTTTTTCGCGTCACTGTGGAGTAACACTGGACGACTTCTATAGCGATTGAGCAATTCGCAACCAACCAAGCGTTTCTCAGACTTTCCGCCTCGAAGCGAATGTTGTTCTGCCTCCCGAACCCTTCTTCTGTCTGGTGTGTCTTCTGGGCTCCAACTTCCTTAAAGACTAATTTTCGGTGTCGCGGATATCGCCGAAGGCTCTCGGAAGCTCCTGGACGACAGCAGTACCTCAATCGATTGGGACCGAGGCTCGTTTGTCCTGCAAACACTCAGGATTATACGCGGGCCGCTTGCCCTTCGGGCTTTCCCCGTTTGCGAATCGTAAGGGGTTTAGCACAGTTTCTCTCGCTCACGGAATTCTGGAAGCTCGGATCGCTGGACCATTTCATCAATATTCTTCATCTGTTCGGTCATGTGAACACAGTCGCATAAATTCTGGGGGGCTGATCTAGCGAAGATTTTCTGTCTCCCGGCTCCGCCTGGCATAGCCGCTGACCTCCGTCTGGTAGACGATGCACACAAATACGACTCTGCCGCTTCCAGACTTATTGTTGCTTTCCGCGCGAGGGCGTGATGAGCGATCGTACGTTGTGTTTGCGTTGCTCCTGCACCGAATGTCGTATGATTGGTCATCGAGGGCATCATCGAGCCTCCAATTCACTGAACCGATTTCTCTCCTCCTTGCGAATGAGATGAGATGAACCGATTTTGGGAATTGGGAAGCCACATCGTCGCGGTCCGGGCGAACAAAGTCGGGAACGATCATATCATTTATTCATTCGGTAGGGGAAAAAGCTCGAGCTCAAGAACCTGGGAAGTCAGCATAGCGCCCTGTCTGAGGGAGAATGTTTGAAAAATGTTCGAGTTCCCAGACGAGAGTGTTGCGAGGCGAAGCTGGGACCTGTGGAACGACGCAAAGAGGGCGGTGATCTATGAGAAGAATACGTCCTAGGGTGGCGAGCAGAGTTATGAGGTCTTACTCGGTGGAAAGACCCTTGTCGGCTTCACCACCATGACCTGCCGACCAGTCGGTCTGCCTGCCTACCGACCAACCGACCTTGTTGCCCGCCAGTCTCGCCAGTTTCCCAGTTCAGCTTCTTTCGGAACCGCATCCCACACACGGCGACTGAGGCCAAAAATA